GTTTTGAGAAGTAATTTAAAATTATTTCATTTAAAATTATTTTAAACCACGTGCATTGAATACTCGGAGGAATGGCTGAGTAATTGATAGCAGCTGGAGTTGAGGAATCCGAGCGCCGAGTTCGAATTCCAGTTGGGTTTATTGCATTCATTTACGTGCTAATGCCCTTGGGAAAGGTATGAATCCATCTCTTCGCCCCGCCCCCGCTATGAGTTAAATAGCAGGAAATACTGGGCCATATAGCATTGGTTGGCAACCAGTCTAGGAGAAGGAAAACTCTGAATTCGAAGTACCTGCTTAACTTCTGAGAAGAGGAACGGGGTTAACTTCAACATCCCCAGTTACAAAAGAAACCGGCAAGCCATTCTGGCTTGAATGTCGCCATGGAACACGGGGGAGTGGTGGCCACAGTAGCACAAAATGCGCTAACTGAATAGCTGGTGATGATGATGATGATGATGATTTGAATATTGCTACCATATCTGGTCTGGTGCTTCTACTATATATATAGAGAGAGATTCTTGACAAAATTCAAAGAAGGGTATGTAATTCAATTAGACATGACCTGGCATTTCGACTTCATTTCGATTTGGCTTAATCTAATCATTCCTAACTAATCATATAATGAATGTCATGTTGAATGGACAGACTTTCAGTTCATTTCATATTAATGCAGGGGTTTCTCAGGGTTCTATCGTGGACACTATCTCTTCTTTACCTCCTCTCCGGGCTCATATCTGCTTAACCTATAGGGAATTCCAAGCTGGACCCATTATTTAATCTATGGGTGTAAACTTTTTGTTCCATTGCCCATGTCTAGGGATGTCTTTAGTTATTTTTAACACTGCTCAGTTATTGCTTATCCTGTTTCCACAGAGTCCAAATGCACACTGCCCGGCCCAGGGATTGAACTCACAATTACTATGCCAGTAAATTTATGAATTATATTTAATTCATTAGACTATTGTTCCATGCAGAATAATCAAATTGATATTCATCTGATGAAGTCCAGAGGGCACTAGAATCATTTTAGAGTCTACAGGCATAGCCTTGGTGCCTGTTTGCAAGCATCTCCCACTGTGAATTCTCTTTTGAGTTTCTGGATTGTTCTTGCATGTGTTACTAACTTTCGCTAGTACGAGGGTCATTCAATAAATAAGGTGAATTTTTCGGTATAAGGACTTCCAATACAGATAGAAGCTTACTTATTTTAATTTTTTTTTGTTTTACTTCTTTTTCACATGGATTTAATTTCTTTTGCAGATTAAAAAAAAAATTTTGAGAGTTTTGGCGATTAACAAAGATGGCCAACCAAGAAGCATGCTCCAGGATTGAACAGCGGTCAGTTATCACGTTTTTGGTTGCTGAAGGGTGCAAACCAGTTGAAATTCATAGGAGAATGTCAACTGCGTATGGTGCCACATGTTTCAGCCAAAAAAATGTCTACAAGTGGGCTAAATTGTTTAAAGAAGGACGGGGCAGTGTTGAGGATGAAGTCTCCTGAGGTGATTGAATCAGTCAATGACCTCATTCAGTCTGACAGAAGAACTACTGTGAACTGCAGTGGCAGGTCAAGAAAGACATAAAGAACAAATGCAGAGGTCATCAGTCAGAAAGAGTCATCTTGCATCATGACAACGCAAGGCCTCACACAGCAGCCCAAACGGTGCAGACCATCAATGAGCTGGGCTGGGAACTGCTCCCTCATCCCCCTTACAGCCCAGACCTTGCCCCCTTCAGACTTTCACCTGTTTGGTCCCTTGAAAGCGTCCACGAGAGGCACGAAATTTAAAAGTGACGATGAAGTCAAAAGTGTTGTGAGCGACTGGCTGAGACATCAGTCCAAAGATTTTTACGCTGAGGGAATACGGAAGCTTGTGCACAGATGGGAAAAGTGTGTGACAGTGCTGGGAGACTACGTTGAAAAATAAAAAAAAGTAAGCTTCTATCTGTATTAGAAGTCCTTATATCGAAAAATTCACCTTATTTATTGAATGACCCTCGTATATTCGGTCAGTTATCTCTTCTTCCTTTATTGTTCCCCTTCCTCTCATAACTGTTTGCCAGATAATATTTCAGATAGTATAACTAAGGCCTTCTCTCTACGCCTATCTGCAAATATCTTTGTGTTCGGTAACTTCAATGCCCATCATGTCAAGTGGTTTCATCACTCTAACGCTACTGACCTCGGTGGCATCCAGACTTTGAAATCCTCAATTTATCAATCTAATAGACTTTCCCATGCATTTCTATAGTAATTCTCGTGGATACTATCTCTTCTTTACCTCCTCCCTGGGCTCATATCATACTCTGTATCTCTGTCCTCTTGGTAACTCTGATCTTGTGATAATGTTTATAGATATTGACACTTTCTGCTCTCTCATTAGTCAAGAACTGCCTCTTATAAATGTCTTTCTCAACTGACTGAGACTGGATTTCTCTGTGATGCTTCTTGGAATGATATTTTTAATCATACTGTTGAGAAATGTGCAATTAAGCTTTCATGCCAAAATGGAAATACCAAACGAAACAACAATCTTTTTGGTTCTTTCTTGCCTGCTTAGTAGCTATAACCCACAGAAATCACTTCTGGTTATAGCAGAGCAACAGGTCCAATTGTAACAGATGTCTCTTTGTCACCACTTGTAATGAATGTAAGTGTGTCCTCAGAGGCAAAATCACTGATAGAATGAGGCACCATATAGGTTTGGTTCTACAGATTACTATCAACTCTGCAAGAGTGTACTGAACAAGTGCAAGTCTCTCTTCTCTTCAATCAAGTGTTGTCATCTACTGCTGAGTGTTTTGCTCAGAAATTATCTTCCAACTTTGCTCTTAACTCATCTGAATTTGTCTATCAAAATTTAGATAAGAACAGTGAAGCTCAAGCTATGGTCTTAGATATTTCAAAGGCATTTGGCATACTGGCTTTCTCCACTAGCAATGGCTCACTTTCAGTAATATTCCTCCAATACATGTCAAAAGCAATACCAATCCAAACAGATAACTGAAATCTTTTATAAGATCAGCGTTCCGTTTACGACGACGTGATCATATTTAAACGGAACGCGATCTTATAAAAGATTTCAGTTATCTGTTTGGATTGGTATTGCTTTTATGTCCATCGTCTTTTCATGTTGAATTGTATATGGTCTATGTTAATTATGTCTTATGAATATGTCCTGAAGAGGGTCTATTAGACCGAAACGTCCGACGTTGACATTAAACATTAAAACAGCATAATCGCATATTAGGATTTTTTTTTTTTTTTTTTTCAGTATATTTTCTTCATACTGTCGGATCTATATCCATATATTTGCTTATATATATATATATATATATATATATATATATATATATATATATATATATATATAATGAGAGCGAGATTCTTGACAAAATCCAAAGAAGAGTCTGTAATGTAATTGGTCCTGACATGGCCCTTACTCACCGACATAATGTGGCTTTCCTCTGTCTTTTTCATAAATATTTTCATGGTAACTGTTTATGATTCTCTCGACTACATGAAATTTAAACGTGCTACTAGGTCTCAATTGTTGAATTTGCTAGATAAAACTGTCAATTCTATTCTAATATTTCTTTTCTCGCATTTCTCGCCTGTGGAACCCCCTTCCTATTTCTTGCTTCTATGGAAGCCTACAATCTTCAAAAATTTAAACACAACGTTAGTTACCATTTTCTATCTTCTAGAATTCTCTTCCTTTATTGTCCTTTCCTCGCGTCTCCTCACTAAAGTCTTTTCATTCTCCCTCACTCTCCCTAACCCCCTAGTCGTAACTAACGCCTAGTGGTATTATCACCTTGCGTGGGGTGAAACGATTTAAAAAAAACAACAAAAAACAACATACCTTCGGCCTCAGTTTAAACCGGCGATTTCATTTTTTTTCATATATTCTGATCATTTTGTTTAAATTTCAATTTTTTTTCTGATTTCAGACGAAAGCTTATAACAACTTTCCAACATGTAAAATTTTTGTTTTCCAGAATCATAGTATATAATTAATAGTTTAGAAAAGCTAAAAGTGGGTCTAACAACAATAGCGTGGAAAAATTGTTCAAGCACTCTCTGTACTTCCCCTTTTAGGGACGCCTCAGCCGCCGAGCAATAAATCCAGCCCCACTCCGAAGAGAGCTACTGCCTGTGGGATGGCCCCGTGGGGCTTGAGCTATTATTGGCAAAAATAATAGTTTAGATCGGGGGTTCTCAACCGGGATCCACATAGGCCTCAAGGGTCGAGGTAATATTTCTGAACGTCCACAGGCAAAATATAACCCAGTTGGGGGTCCACAATGATATTTTGGTGGTCCATGCAGGAAGCCAATTCAGAATGTTTTTTTTATTATTAAAATAAAGCAGAGCTCTACGTTATTGCTTTTCCAACATCTTGTTGAATCGGGATTTAGTTGTGATTCTCAACTGTTATCACAAGTTTGCAATAGACTTGACATTGTGAAAAGAGATGATCTTCGACTATCATTAACATTGATGGAACCAGATATAAAGAAACTCGCTGAGCAGCAGCATCCACAGAGATAGCATTGAATAAATATGCCTTTCTTTTTTTTCTAATCACATACATAAATTGGTTTATTAAAATTTTTAACTATTGTGCATAAATAAATGCTGCAGTAAATTCAGTTGCCTGAAGAGCTTTGCTGCCCATGGGCTTGACCATGGAATAAAGATGGTAATATTGTAATACAAGATATTGGTCGATAAAAATTATTATTAATATAATTATTTTGGGTAGTACTATTATTGTAATTATAATTGTAGAATAATTTATTTGCATTAAATTAGTTTCATTAAAAAATAAAGTTTCATTTAATAGTTCTTTGCTTATTAAAACCTCAAAATTTTTATTAGTAATAAAAAGAATATGGTTGTCTTATGTCAAATAGCTATTAAGAGGTCCACCACGATAAAAAGACGGAAAAATGTGTCCATCAAGAAAAAAAAGAAGGGAAAAGAGGTCAACCAAGAAAGAAATGAAAGGAAAAGAGGTCCGCTAAGAAAAAAAAAAAGAATAAAAAAGGGTCCACCATGATAAAAGAAGGGAAAAGGTGTCCACCAAGAGAAAAAGAAGAGAAAAGGTGTCCTCCATGAAAAAAAGAAGGGAAAAGGTGTCCAAGAAAAAAAAAGGGAAAATGTGTCCTCCATGAAAAAAAGACGAGAAAAGGCGTCCACCAAGAAAAAAAGAAGGGAAAGGGTGTCCAGCAAGAAAAAAGAGAAAAGGTGTCTTCCATGAAAAAAGAAGGGAAAAGGTGTCCACCAAGAGAAAAGAGAAAAGGTGTCTTCCATGAAAAAAGAAGGGAAAAGGTGTCCATCAAAAAAAAACCCCAAAAAACGGGAAAATGTCCTCCATGAAAAAAGACGAGAAAAGGTGTCCACCAAAAAAAAAAAAAAAAAAAAAAAAGAAGGAAAAAGGTGTCCACCAAGAGAAAAGAGAAAAGGTGCCTTCCATGAAAAAAGAAGGGAAAAGGTGTCCACCAAGAAAAAAAAAGGGAAAATGTGTCTTCTATGAAAAAAAGACGAGAAAAGGTGTCCACCAAGAAAAAAAGAAGGGAAAAGGTGTACACCAAGAAAAAAAACGGGAAAATATGTCCTCCATGAAAAAAAGACGAGAAAAGGTGCCCACCAAAAAAAAAAAAAAAAAAAGAAGGGAAAAGGTGTCCAGCAAGAGAAAAGAGAAAAGGTGTCTTCCATGAAAAAAAGAAAGGAAAAGGGGTCCACCAAGAAAAAAAAAGGGAAAATGTGTCCACTAAGAGAAAAAAAAAGTGAAAAGGGGCCCACCATGAAAAAAGAAGGGAAAAGGTGTCTACCAAGAAAAAAAAGAAGTGAAAAGAGTTCCGCTAATAAAAAAAAGAAGGCAACAAAAAAAGAAGGGAAAAGATGTCAACTAAGAAAAAAAGAAGGGAAAAGGTGTACGTCAAGAAAAAAATTAACGAAAAAGTGGCCACCAAGAAAAAAAGAAAAGAAAAGGAGTCCACCAAGGATAAAAGAAGGGAAAAGGGGTCCACCAAGAATAAAAGGGAAAAGGTGTCCATCAAGAAAAAAAGAGGGAAAAGAAGTCCGCTAAGAAAAAAAGAGGGAAAAGTGGTCCACCAAGAAAAAAAGAAGTGAAAAGAGGTCTACTAATAAAAAAAGAAGGGAAAAGGTGTCCACCAAGAAAAAAATAAGGAAAAGTGGTCCACTAATTAAAAAAGAAGAGAAACGGTGTCCACAAAGGATAAAAGAAGGGTAAATGTGTCCAACAAGAAAAAAAAAACAAGGGAAAAGGGATCCACCAATGAAAAAATAAGGGAAAAGGGATCTATCAAGAAAAAAAGAGGGAAAAGGGGTCGACAAATAAAAAAGGAAGTGAAAAGGTGTCCACCTAGAAAAAAATTAAGGAAAAGAGGTCCACCAAGAAAAAAGAAGTGAAAAGGGGTCCACTAATAAAAAAAGAAGAGGAAAGGTGTCCACGAAGAAAAAAAAGAAGGGAAATGGTGCCCGCGAAGAAAAAAAGGGAAATGGTGTCCATCACGAAAAAATGAAGGAAAAATGTGTCCACCAAGAAAAAAAAAATAAGGGAAAAGGGGTCCTCCATGAAAAATAGGAGGGAAAATGTGTCCACCAAGGAAAAAAAAGCAAGGGAAAAGGGGTCCTCTATGAAAAAAAGGAGGGAAAATGTGTCCACCAAGGAAAAAAAAGCAAGGGAAAAGGAGTCCATGGGTAAAAAAAATGGATTGAGAACCACTGATTTAGATATAAGGTGAGAGAAAAAAAAAACAAGTGTCAACTGGAAATGACGCTAGGATGATATCCGTCAATGTTAATAATTTTATGGTAACTTTATCAAATTTCATTTGCCACAGTAGAAATAAACTGTAATATTTTCATATTCTTATTCTCCGCACCCCCGACACATACACATTTTTTTTACAAGGTTTAACATTTCGTAACAATCGATTGAATTTGTTTATTCAATATACTGAACCTGTTCGGCCATTTGGAAATTTAAAAAAAAACCCTGAATTCCGAAAAATATCAAGTTCCAAGGCTTTCGAATTATATTAAATATATCGAAAAAAGACGACTCGACCTAAACGAATAGCAAACTAGTCTAAAATGATTACTGTAAAAATAGGGTGTTAATTGCATTGGTAACCTTATGCCCTACTATACTATGCTAAGCTTAATAATGTTCATGTCATACAAACATGGCTGGCCGTTTGTTTTCGAGTATGCCTGTCTGCTAAGGTGGCTAGCTAATCCCCGTTGCAGACGTTTCTACTGCAACTAAACTACTCTTTCTGAGAGAGAGAGAGAGAGAGAGAGAGAGAGAGAGTATAATCTGACTTGATGAGTAGTTTGAACAAAGCCAATACGCTCAACGCCTCGCTCGTTCTAGCGTCACCATTGACGGTTTCTGGGCATTTTCATCCACCTAATTCCATTCAAAATGTTTGGGTCAACCCGTGTTATGGTTTTTATGCACTTCCTCAATATTATCCCCTCCCTGACAGATCGACCATGGTGAAATTCGAACCTGAATCCCTCATGTTCGGAACGCGAACGTTATAACCCACGATCTCCCTCCCAACCTGGGCGATATCATCCATCAGTGGCCGATTTCAACTGTTGGTTGGGCGATGAGTAACTGAAAAGAAAATGGATATTTTGGTGGACGATAGAGGATTTTGAGTATTAAAAAGGTATTTCAATACATTCAGCTATACGAAAAATATTCAAAGATGATATGCAATGAACCTGTATAAAAAAGAAACAAGGGGGTTAAGTGGATATAATTGGATCCCACTCTTAGATAAGATATAAATATCAAACAAGGATTGTTTTGGTACTTTCTTTAGTTTTAGGAAGTGTCATTTACATTTAAATAGTTCTTCAACATTTTTTTCGGATATAATTTAATGGAAGACTAAGAACAACAAAAATATTCCCTGAATTTCTATGAGTTGCTAGCAGTGTATATTCTTTTTTAATTTTATGAACAAAAACCGTTTAACTTATTGTTAACACTTGCAACGCTAACACTAACCATAAAATTAACCTTGACCATAAAACTACACTATATATATTCTTTTCACTATTTACATTATTCGGACTATTGTCCTCATCTTTGTCGCCATATTTATTACAACGTTTCGGCGCTTTAGTATCTGTCTATATTTCTGAGATGAGGTATTATGTACACTATTTACACTATTCGGACTATTGTCCTCATCTTTGTTGCCATATTTATTACAACGTTTCGGCCCTTTAGTATCTGTCTATATTTCTGAGATGAGGTATTATGTACACTATTTACACTATTCGGACTATTGTCCTCATCTTTGTCGCCATATTTATTACAACGTTTCGGCCTTTCAGTATCTGTCTATATTTCTGAGATGAGGTATTATGTACACTATTTACACTATTCGGACTATTGTCCTCATCTTTGTCGCCATATTTATTACAACGTTTCGGCGCTTTAGTATCTGTCTATATTTCTGAGATGAGGTATTATGTACACTATTTACACTATTCGGACTATTGTCCTCATCTTTGTCGCCATATTTATTACAACGTTTCGGCGCTTTAGTATCTGTCTATATTTCTGAGATGAGGTATTATGTACACTATTTACACTATTCGGACTATTGTTCTCATCTTTGTCGCCATATTTATTACAACGTTTCGGCTCTTTAGTATCTGTCTATATTTCTGAGATGAGGTATTATGTACACTATTTACACTATTCGGACTATTGTCCTCATATTTGTCGCCATATTTATTACAACGTTTCGGCCCTATAGTATCTGTCTATATTTCTGAGATGAGGTATTATGTACACTATTTACATTATATTTCTGAAATGAGGTATTATGTATACTATATTATTCGGATTATTGTCTTCATCTTTGTCGCAATATTTATTACAACGTTTCGGCCTTTGTACACTCCGGCCTTCTTCAGGTGGTTGGAATGTCGAGGACACATGGTACAGTGGATAAAGGCGTTGGTTAGATCCAGTGACCGGATCCGAAGAGTGTGAGTTCAATACCCGGTTAAGACAGTGGAGAACTTGCAGAGGGGAATTAACAGGAGATAACTGACAACTGACATCCATTAAACATGGCACTTGAAACTAGAACAGTCTACCCCAGTGAGCAAAATAAAGGGTTCAGTTTGACATTCCAACCACCTGAAGGAGGCCGGAAGGTACAACGGCCGAAACGTTGTAATAAATATGGCGACAAAGATGAGGACAATAGTCCGATTAATGTAAATAGTGTACATACCCCATCTCAGAACTATAGACATATTTTTCAATAGTCAAGTTTGATTTAGTTTGATCTTTAATACAGCAGCAGCAGTCATATATGTCAGCGTTATTTATTACCTCCCTTTAATACTTTTTACTATACCATAAAGTCAGTAGTCAGTTTACGAACTAGTAACAAACTTTTACCAAACAATGTTGGTATGCTTTTGAATATTTTCTATGCAGGTGTGCGGTGAAAAAATTTTCTTGTGTGAAAGTGTGGGATGACGCAGAAATGGTTGGGAACCCCTGGTTTAACCACTCGAACACGCGCCCATTGCCAACTCATCTTTTATATAATAACAAGTTTGCCCACGCCATCATTTTTTATGGCTTAATGTGTAGTAAATATAGATGCCAGCATGATTAAATTAGTTCTTTAAAATCCTCTCCCATCAAACACAGTTTTTAATTGGTACGGCGCGTTTATTATTTTTAAATACGTTTCTTTGAGGATTTCTCTCTCGCTGATCGGCAAAAATAAACCCACACGTTGTGTTTATAGATCGCGTCGGTTTACACGAAAACCGGGAAAGGCTCGTTCTACGTCTTCAACGGAAGCGGAAGTTGAAATTAACGTGCTTGTTAACGGTGAGAACTGAAAACGAGAATCCTGATTCCAGTTTTTTTGGTTGTTTATTCAGGGATTCACTTACACGGATTGGGTTGGGTAGGTAGTTAACACTTGTGGCAGCTTCAAGACTGACTAACGGATCAGATTTTTCGGTCAACCAGCGAGAACTCAAACTCTGTACTACTGCTTCTCTGCTTATTTTTATATCACGACGCGTCACTCGCTCACTGGCGGGTTGAAACTACAACAGGTGGCATTAGAATTTTCTGTCCATTTAGAGGCTCTGCTAATATAAGCCTATGACCGGAACACCCTCACTTCCAGCCAAGTGACACTTGTTTCCGAGTGTTTTCATTTATTTATTTATCTATTTTTAAAAATTTATTTTATCCTCTTTTGGTCAAGTGAGTAGCCATTTTGAAGATACTACTTTGCAAACTGGTGCTGGTCATAGAAAAAAAAACCCAGTTCAGACTCAGATAAAATAATTTGCCGTTCGTGTGGGCGTTCGGGGTCAGTCTAGCAGAATTCTTTAGCGTCATAATTATAGATATAGATATAAAGTTCACAATAAATTTTATGGGAAAATTAAATTTATAGTTAAAGTTACGACCCTGCGAATTCGTTTTGTATAAGGGCGGGGGGTAAATTGATCGATCGTATAACAGTATCAACATGAAAAATAAAGTAGATCAGACGAAATGTGATGATAAGACGAAAGTCGTCTGACAAAAACAATGCATAGTAGCAGCAGGAACTCGCCTCAGAAATTTGGACAGAAATTGACAGACCAGGACGGACCCAGCATGATACTAAAATAGAAATGGTTGCTAGAAAAAAAAAAAGAAAAAGAAAAAAGCTAAAGCTAGCACAAATACGAAACCACTCAACATTCCTTTGCAGATGTCAAGTACCAAAACGTAGGCAAATACTAAAAACGATAATAATCATAGTTGAAAGTGCAAATTAATTATAGATTTTAAGAAAAAAAATGAAAGCAAAAAGATGAAAACTCTTCCAAATAAACCAATGCGTTAATCTAACTAATCATAAATATGCAAATTGCTTGAATTTTATTATTAAAAATTATTATTATTATTATTAATTCATGAAATGAAACACTGTCCGCCATTTTTAATTTTTGACTACTATTTATTACATCTTGATTTTAGTTTTAATAGTAGTAATATCTATCTATCTATCTATCTATCTATCTATCTATCTATTGGCGGAACATAATCTTCATTGCCTTAGAGCCTTCCTATTTGACATTCACGTTAATATCTATCTATCTAAAATTCTTTGCCTTAGCACTCCCCCCAATTTGACATTTACGTTAATATCTATCTATCTATCTATCTATCTATCTATCTATCTATCTATCTATCTATCTATCTATCTCGGTCTTTGCATATATCTATCTATCTATCTATCTATCTATCTATCTATCTATCTATCTATCTAATACTGACGTAACACAATCTTCCTTGCTTTAGATCCTTCCTATTAGGCATTCACATTAATATCTATCTATCTATCTATCTATCTATCTATCTATCTATCTATCTATCTATCTAATACTGACATAACGCAATCTTCCTTGATTTAGACCCTTCCTATTTGGCATTCACGTTAATATCTATCTATCTATCTATCTATCTATCATCTATCTATCTATCTATCTATCTCGGTCTTTGCTTCATATCTATCTATCTATCTATCTATCTATCTATCTATCTATCTATCTATCTAATACTGACGTAACACAATCTTCCTTGATTTAGACCCTTCCTTTTTGGCATTCACGTTAATATCTATCTATCTATCTATCTATCTATCTATCTATCTATCTATCTATCTCGGTCTTTGCATATCTATCGCAGTCTTTTCATTATCTATCTATCTATCTATCTATCTATCTATCTATCTATCTATCTATCTATCTATCTATCTATCTATCTCAGGTCAGCAATTAAGACAATCATTACTGATAGATTATGGCAGTTTTATGTAATTCACTATTATTTATCATAATACAAGTAGCAAACCACCCACCTTCCTTCCGTATTTCATCGAGTTTCTTCCCGCGACAAGTTTAGGAGTTTATGTCTGTCGTAATGTTCCACTTGATCGAAATAAATCAAATAAGCAATAAGTAAATGAACTTAAATTTATTAGTTTATGTGTAAGTAAATGTTTACAGTGATCTTTTTAGGAAATTAGAATGTACTCTTGTGAACCCGGTTTTAGGTAGAAACTTTTGAACACATCTAATATTTTTGGGGGGTTTACGTCCTTCATCTCCGTTTATTTGCCTTCTTTTCATTACATAACAACATTCATAACCAAACGTAGTCCTTTTTACGCTTTTCTCATATCTTTGTCTTTTACTGCTTATCTTTTACGCGCTTGTCAATTAAATATTTTTCACTGTTATTTTTTCTCTCTTTTTCACTTATTCTTTCTTTCTGTAACTTTTATTGGTATCCTTCCTTTTTCTTTCATACAAATCCTTTCTTTTTTTTTCTTTCTTTTACTTTCTTTCTTTTTCTTTCTTCCTTCCTTTCATTTTTTCTTTCTTAGTATTTTATTGTTATTCTTCTTTCTTTGCCGTTTGTACCTCCACAGAAACGCGATATCTAAATTGGCACTACTTGATTTCCATGTCCATACAGTTTATATCCCTGGAAAATATACCAAATATTAATATATATATATATATATATATATATATATATATATATATATATATATAGGGTGACCCCAAAAAACGGGAATTTTTGAAGTGCGTATTGCCAGACATGAAATATATATATATATATATATATATATATATATATATATATATATATAAATCAGCGGTTTTCAATATTCTAGTCTGAAGCGTCTTCAAGAGGCGAGAGCAAAACCTAAAAGGTCAGCCAATCTAACAGTGACCTCATCTCACAATCCTCACTCTTGCTCCATATGCTGGCCTTCTTTTGCAAATCACTTGCGGGTCTTAAGTGCCACTTAAGATTGTCGCACAAAATTCATAACTAAACCAATTGGTTAAGTTGTCCGATTCTCATACATCGAAACTATATATATATATATATATATATATATATATATATATATATATAGGGTGTCCATAAAGTTCGTGTGCACTTTAAAAAATTATAACTTTATTTGTATTTACGATAGAAATAATCAGTAAAAAGGATTAGAAAGAAGTAAATCTATATTTTTTAAGGTATTATTCAAATTTTATTTAAGTTTCCACATGTCCTTCATCATTAGCAATACAATTGGTAATACGATTTTGCAGTTGACGGAAAACATTTGCCAACTGATTTACAGTAATGCCTAAAATCACATTAGTTGTTTTAGCTATACTTAAAACTAGGTACATTAAACTTTATAACATTTTTTACAGATTATTTCTATCGCTAACACAAATAAAGTTATACATGTTTTAAAGTGCACACGAACTTTATGCACACCCTGTATATAGAGAGACCTCCAACAAAAGCGATGCCTGAGGTTTAAAATGAATTTTTGAAAATGAAAAATCTTTTTTGAAGCTTTTAAATTTAATATTTCCAATAAGTATAATACTTTTTTTATATTTCAAAACTAATTTAAATTGACTGGAAGGAGTTTTCGTCTTGAAATGGCTAAAATAGCAGATTTTAGCGCCATTTTAGCTATCTGTTATCACGATATAATTGTCTTTGTTAAAAAACAATCTTTCAAAAATAAAATATACTTTCTGAAACTTTAATTGAGGAATATTAGCTGATTTAAAGTTTAATTAATCTGATTTGAAACAAACATTAATTATTTTAAGTTTAAAATATCGCAAAAATGCATTTTAACACGGCGGTATCTGTTTGTTTAAGGTGTTGACAGGCGGAAGTTTATTTAATTTTGTTCTATAGTGGATATATCTGTAAAATTACTCGAGGAATATAACGTAGCCGCCTTTTTATAACATTTTTAACTGCTCAATAATTTAAAAAAATTAGGAAAATATTCTCCGTAATCAAATGTTTTATTGAATTTTAGGTACTCTGACTGTAAATTTACTATTGTTATCGCTCTTATTTTTCGATAATGTCGAGTTTGGACGTCCGTATTCACAAAAATCGTCACGTTTATACACACACAAAAGAAAATCAAAATTCTTTTTAAAATATTGGTGGTCGCTAGATTGTAATAAGGTCTTTCATTTATGATTAATAAACATAGTTTTTATTTAATAAAAATATCACCTAACCGGGACAAACTAACACAGAATTTTAAAAGATTTAAAACTTTATAAATTTGTTAAAATTTCATTAAAAATGAAAAGAATTCTTGCAAAATTCATTATTCATAGAATCTTTTTAAATACAGTAATGCCCATAATAAATCTTATTCATAAAAATAAATTAAAAGCATTTTCTTATTAAATAAAGTCATTTTTAACCGCCTTTTTTATTTTACGATTCAAAGAAATTGATTTAATTTTTCCAGGGAGCTCTGCTTTATAACTAATATAAACATTATTTGGATCAAAATTTAATCTATCGAAATGTCATAAAGTTAAATAAGTGGAGGTAACAGATGTAAAAAAGAGTTTTTCTAAAAAAAAAAAATCTAAAATAATTTCACTTATTTTGGGAATAAGTCCTTAATTTTTGCATTAAAATCTGACAATTGTTTGATTTTTGCAAGAATTTCCAAATCAATGTGTTTTTCACCGCAAAAAAGACGCTAAAATTTCCTATACTAATCTTTGCCACGCCTCCCGACTGGCACAAAAAAAAAAAACAAAAAAAAAAAGACAAAAAAAAAACATAACAGAAACAACAACAACAAAAAAGATTCTAACTAAAATTTCGAAAGTATTAAGAATGAGTAAAACATAATAAGAATTCCTTTGGTCTTTACTCTTAATAATAACATAACGATTTTGGCGATAAAACTTTTTTTTATTAAATTTGGGGCATTTTTTCATCATGGTATGCTAAATTTTTAGCATCAGTGGAGGTGCCTCCATTTTTGTATTTATTTGTTTGTTTTTTATTTTCTTATTTTATGGCTTTTCTTTCTTTCTTTATTTGTCTTGTGCTTTTTCTTTCTGCCTTTCTTCCTTCCTTTCTTTTTTCTTACTTTCTTTCTTTCTTTCTTTCAAAACTGTTTTCTCATCATATTTCACACCTAGTTTTCTATTCTACTTCCAAGATTTTCCTGCCAGCATTTACTCCCTGGTGCCTTCCCTCTTGTATCCGTCTCGTCTCATTTTTTTCTCTCTCTCTCTCTCTCTTTCCTTCTTTCTTTTGTTCAGACACAGCCCAACCTAACCCAACACCGCGCTTTACCCCCCCCTCCCACCGACACTCCCACTTCCTTCGTTTCTTCCTTTCCTCTCCCCGTCACCGCTTTCAGCTTCCTTCTCTTCTTTCTCCGACTTATGATGACTTGCCCACTCACACTTAAACGCACACAACCACGCGCGTGCGCCCGCGCATGCTCACACCATCGCTCCTATATCGCTTCTCTTTCCCTTCATTACCTTCCTTCCTCTTAGAAAGTCTTCACACCTCCCACCACCGCGCTACTTGATAGCCAGCACATCTCCCTTGTTCTTCTATCTTTTACGCCCTTTCTTCCCTTAGCTTTATTCCTCTTCCTCTTCCTCCTTCTTAATAAAAACAAACCTTCCTCTTTATTCTCTTTCTCTACTAATCTCCTTAGCATTTATCATCTTTTGATAACCCTTTTATTATCTCTCTATCTTCTCGTCCCTTCTCGTCAAACGTTCCGTCGACTGGTTGGGCTTTGAGAAACCCAGCCGGCCGCATAGTAGCATCCAGACTTTTACTATTGACATCTTCAGCTGCTTAAAGTGAATAGACTCCAGCGCTAACCGATCGCCTGGCCGAGCTTCATCATGAAGCTCTAGGCTGCGAGTAACAAGGATAGGGGGAACAAATGATCGCCATATACAAACGAGTGAATTCATTTTAATTGACTAAAAAGTCAGAGACTTATCCATACTAAAAACAAAACAAGCAAACAAACGAAACAACAACAACAAAAAAAAAAAAAAAATCTGCTACGACCAACACTTCTAAAATCTCCATCAACAAATAGTGCAAATCTATCTATCTATCTATCTATCTATCTATCTATCTATCTATCTATCTATCTATCTATCTATCTATCTCAGCCTTCTTTTTTTTACTTTCTTTTTCTATCTATCTATCTATCTATCTATCTATCTATCTATCTATCTATATTTTCATTATAAAGAGAGACAAAGAAGAAAGGAAAAAAATGAGCAGGATATAAATACAAACACCTTCAAAGAAATACGATAAAGAAACGAAGGAAAGAAAAAGGAAGGAAAAAGAAAAGGAGAGAAAATACCTGTTCCTTGACTGGGAGTTAAAGTGGTAATAAATAAAACAAAACAGTAACACTTAACTCAAAGTTGCAGGAGGGAAGTCCTCGTTGAGTGCCGATTGCTCCAATACGTGTTACAAAAATTAAGCATCTCGCCCCTAAAATAATCCAGAACTAAGAATTAGTAATTTCTCATCTTAGAATCAGAAAAAAAAAGTAGTGCAAGCAAAGCCTGGAACTTTTCCGATCCTACCTACCCTTTCCTATCATATTCATATTATGTACAATCACGAAATAGGAAGTAATTTCCAACAGAGAGAAGCAAAACTGATTAAAAAGAAAAAAGTAAATTTTTTATTCATTGAGCGATTTTAGTGTTTCAGAACTGATTCGCTAAAAAAAAAAAAAGAAAAAAAAAGGATATTTTCATAAAAAAAAAATGACAGTAGCAGACGAGTAAGTTTTACACTGGCATTAGCAAAAAAAAAAAAAAAACGCTAAACCTTTACATAAGTCAACCTTGTCGCACTTCAAGTACTGAACTCGTAAAAAGAGCAGTACACAAGTTGTCTAGATATCAACAATTAATATAACCTCACCGAAGCCGAAAAGATCAAAAGATGGAGAGCCAACGTTTGACAGTCGGCAGTGTTTTTCTTTGCGTGATGAGCAAAAGAGCGTACGTTCATGTGTGCGTGTGTGTATATGCGTGATTTTGATTAATCCAAACCTGAAAAAAATAAAAAACAAACAAACAAAAATAAATAAATAAATTAAAAAAAAAAATGGGTTGTTTTTCGTCAAAGGGTAATTTCCAAAGCCCACAGACCAACGATGTTCAACAAGTGACCAACCAAGAACAGTCGGAAATTGACACGACGATTACTGAAGATCCGCCCGTTCTGGACGATGACCAAAAAAAACTATTACGAAAATCTTGGTTTATACTTCAGAATGATATATCCAAAGTTGGTACCGTTACGTTTATAAGGTAAGCAAAACATCATTTCCATTTTAAAGGCAACCATCTACTTTGATTGTCTCTTCTTGTGCCTTACATTGAGTGAACCTGAATAACAAAAAATACGTTGTAGAACTTTCAAATAGTGGAATCTATACGTTGGAATAATTACTTTTTATGTTTGTTCATTAGATAAAAAAACTGTAAAGTTGGAAAATTCATGTTATATATATATATATATATATATATATATATATATTATATACACATGGAGTGCTGGTGGTAATAAAACAATACTTGATGTAAAATAACAGGAATATATAGCAAAACTCGGAGATACAATCAACACCTGATGAATAAATTGTGCATGAAACATAAATCATTGTGCTACCGGTGACATAAAATGAATATTTCTTTTTATATATATATATATATATATATATATATATATATATATATATATATATATATATATATATATAGATTGAATACGACAGACAAGCTGCTTTTATTTAGTTTTTATACAATTTCTAATGCGATCTAATAATTTTTCTTTTCAGAAAATAAATTAAAAAAAAAAAAACAAAACTATCCGATAGTTTCGGCTATACATTTAGCCATTTTCAAGGATTAAATATTTTAACTGTTAAATAAGAAATAGTTATTATTTAATAGTTAAAATATTTAATCCATGAAAATGGCTAAATGTATAGCCGAAAGAGTTCGGATAAAAAGAACATTCGGACAGTTTTTTTTTTATAATTTATCATCAGAAAAGAAAAAAAAATATTAGATCGCATGAGAAATTGTTTAAAAAAGTAAATAAAATCACCTTGTCTGTCGTATTCAATGAAATGTGCATGAAAGAAGGATTGCTGCCTAAATACACACACACACACACACACACACACACATATATATATATATTTGTGATTCCTTTCGTCTTTCTGTGATAATGTTATCAAGCTTATCAGATAATATGAAAGGAACTTAGTTAAAATAAATAGACAAAACTTGTCTATATTATTTAATGAAACATGCATAAATGAAAATTGCTGCATATATATATATATATATATATATATATATATATATATATATATATATATATATGTGTGTGTGTGTGTGTGTGTGTGTATATATATATATATATATATATAATGGATTTATTTTTAATCTGACATTTTTGTCCTTCAAATGCTGTTCTATTCTCATACAAAAGGAGGGCGCAGGTTCGATCCCTGAGACGGACACATTTTCTTTACTTCGATTCTTAGAATGCGCAAGCCGATAAACGTATATACACTGTTTAATAAATACAAATGGAGTGTATATTTCAAATAAGTGCCCACAATAATAGCGTTTGAAATAATATATATATATATATATATATATATATATATATATATATATATTAATGAGAGAATTGACAAGAGGAAATGCTTTTTATTTTGGCGCGTTTCGTTCATTATGTAACGCATTCGGAGAGAAAAATATCGCATTTCCTCTTGCCATTTATTTTATGGTGGCAAATCAAATTATATTTTCACTTATGTTTACATTCAGTTTCGTAGAGATTACAGACATTTTTCAGAGAACTTGATTGTACATTTTAATTTCTTAAGAATGTTAACATCATGTCTCCTGAAGAGTGGACGTAATCTTCGCGAATCTCAGACTAGGGATAGGTGTATATTTAAATTTCATTTATTGCTCTTATAGCTCTCTCTTTCTCTTTTCCCACTTTCTTTCTCTCTCTCTTCTCTCTCTCTCTCTCTCTCTCTCTCTCTCTCTCTGTGTCGATAACGAGCATTATAATTCCGAAAATTGCTTAAAGACGTTATTTTATAAAATTACATCGACCCAATTTTATTTTTTGCAATATGTTTTTATATATATATATATATATATATATATATATTTTTGCCCATGTAACCCGGATGCAAATCTCACCATTTGTTGATTTGTCAGGAAGTGAACTTCCTGATGTTATCGGTTTGGAGGGGGGGACGATGCCAGCATGCGGCACCTTTGGAAAGTGCCTGAAAACCACACCACGGGTTGACCCAAGCCTTGTGAGTGAAATTGGGTAGACAAAACACTTGGGGCCGTCGATAGCTGTACTAGAACGAAGTCAAAAGTCATCGTGACCGAGGGTTTCAGTGTGTTAGTCTTTTTCAGATTGTTGATCATTCTAGATAACAATTCCTGTCCCAGAAACTGTAACTAAGGTCTGCTCACCATAGTCTCAGAATAAACCACAAGTTGGTTTGTGGGTGTTGAACAAACGCAAAACGTGCCTGAGCGAGCGTCTGCAATAGGGATTGACTAGCCGCCCTACTAGACGGGTATCCTCGAATACAGTGGCCAGCTATTATATATATATATATATATATATATATATATATATATATATATATATATATATATATATATACAAAGATATACACATACATATATATTATATATGTATGTATATATATATATATATTAGATATGTATGAGTATTTGTGTATATTTTGTATATATATATATATATATATATATATTCACAACTCTAAAATAATTTTTTCTTTTTTGTTATATATATATATAAATTGACAAGAGGATAGAATCTAGGTAGGACTCAATGTCCAGGAGACAGAGTAAGAATATAATATAAAAGGCTCAAACACGAATATTCCATGGTCATAATTTATTACATTGGAATCGTAATCACGATCCAATTCATCAGACTTACGAATTCAAAAAGGAATCGGAAATATATATATATATATATGTGTGTGTGTGTGTGTGTGTGTGTGTGTGTGTATTGCTCATAAGATATAAAGATTAAGGATTCCATTAATCGTCTAAACGTTCTGCTGGCTATCTCTCGACTTCTACATTCTTTCCTTGAAAATGACCCAAAAAAAAATGGCCGAAAAGAACTTGGAGCATTAAACACAATTTCGACAAGTCTCCACCTGACGTCAATTTACTTCTTCGACATCATGAGAAACTCGCCAAAAGACTTTATTCCTTGTCCATTCTATTTAATAAAACATGTTTAAACGAAGGACTCCAGACTGTACGCAGTACATTTCTAAGAGGTATTACTTTCTGACTTACACCTTCACAAATGCACTAAAAGAGGAAAGCACAGTGCTAGTTTCTGATACCTGAGATGCTCCACACCCAAAGGGATGTGCCTAGGCAAATGGACATATTTTCTTATTAATCGTTTGGGAATCATACTTTAAACAGTGACTATCTATATTTTCTACCTGGATTCTATCCTCTTGGCAATATATATATATATATATATATATATATAAACAGTGTATGTGCGTGTATTTGTGTATTATGCACTATAATACATATATAATATACATGTATATACTAATACATATACTGGAAAGCACAACACAAACAGGGAGTACAATAACACCATTGCAGCAAAACACTATTTTTACACATAGTCATCACCGTTGGAGATGCGTTTTCGCCAACGATGAATAAAGGTTTGCAGGTCGTGTTCGTAATCGTATCTTTTCATACGCATCGTTTGGCCATTGACATTACTCATCGGCAAACTTTGCTCATATCCTCTGTTTGGTTTCCGTAAAAAATACGTTGATGAAAGTCAATGGGTGCAATTTATTTCCCATAGAGGAATTCGACGACATTTCTACTTTAATGGCAGACACCATTTTGCCAGATTGCTTATAAGCTTCCAAGAAAGTAAAAAAAAAAAAAAAAGAAAAAAAAAGAATGTGTTATTGGCGGGAAATTTTCACTTTTACTTCTAAATCACCCACTTCCGCCTGTGACGTAATGAGTCAACATTATAAAATAAGTGGTATTATTCACGGAACGACCTTTCGTATCTTTGTGTGTCTTTTATTCTCTCTCTCTCTCTCTCTCTATATATATATATATATATATATATATATATATATATA